GTCCCAGGTAACAGCAAACACATGATGATTATTGTTTCCTCTCCAGCTTCCACCCTGCTTTTCTCTCCCCCGTCCTCCAATATTGACTTGTTTCCATTTTCTGTGTACTTCTCCACCCCAGCTGTTAACTACTGGAAACAGCTGGTTTTTCCTCTTTTTATTCCGTTCCCTCTTTATGTTTTAAAAGTTTTAATGTTGTTTTTTAGTAGTGGAAGTAAAAAAGCAAACAGGAAACTGACGGAAACAATGAGCCTTGAATTTGACTCTCTGAACATACAAAGGAATCTCTTCAGGGAAGAAAGGAATTGTGAGGGAGAGTAGGAGGTCTTCTTGCTTTAGCTCTTCTTTTATTGTTTCCATGGCTGGCAAAGCCATTCCTGCTTTTCTGTATTGTTCCTCATGATCCCAGCCCCTTTCCTTTCTCGCAGCTCCTTCCTAGTGCTGTACTGTTTGTTGGAGTGCAGTTGGAAGCTTAAACTTCAGTGGAGGCTGAGTAGCATGACTGGTCTTAGAATGATTGGATTGTACGTTCAGCTCCTCCTGTTTGTGAAGGAGAGACTGTTCTTCCAGGATGTACCAATAAACTGTTTCCAGTGATTTTGGTGTAGCTGGGGGTTACATAGAACTCTTATCAGATGCCTTTCCTTTCTCCTGGAAAAAGTGTCGGTCATTAAAACTGCTGCTCTCGTGCATAGTAATCCTGAGGTTTGTTTTCCAGGCACGTGTGTTGGAAACACAGACAGCAGGCACTTCACTAACGTCACAAACGCCATTTATCGATTTAACCCCCTGCTCTTGAAATCAGAGGATCTTCCCAGGTACCGTGTGCTGTCTGCGTGTGGGCAGCTCTTTGGGGTGGGGACTAGTGAAAGAGAAAATCAATCTGTGTTAGGCAGAAGAAGGAAACCCAGCCTTGTATACCTTGGCGTGGTGGTGCCTCACTTTCTGTTAGGCCACCCATTTCCTGCAGATTTGGGTGCTGCACAAACAGGGGGTGGTAATTGCACTGGGAGAGTGTTAGGCTTTTCTCTTCTTTACTTGAAGCACAGACAAGACCTTGTTTAGGTGCCCCATTCAGTAGCACAGCAATGCTGGGAAGCTGATTGGAGCCTTCAAATAGCACAGCAGTGGGAAAGGTGGTGTTCTGGTAGTCAGCCTTGTTTCAGAGATTTATCTGTATGTGTGGGCACACGCCACTCTGAATTTATTTGCTCCTTAAAGCTGGAAGCTAGGTTTCCTGGAGAAAGTGATAACATGATAACAGAAAACGCTATTGTGTGAGGGATTGTTTGTTTAGTACTAGATTTGTCATTTTATTGAAGTGCAGATGGTACAGGAGTAAAGTGTTCTCAGGAGTAGAGTGTACAGTACAGTGATAGAAATGACCAAGAAATGGGCAGAGAGCTGGAATACTATTTTTTTTTCTTTTCCACATACACCATTAACTTAGTTACTGTGCTCCGAGTCTTAGAATCAGTAAATTTGGCTGGCCTGAGGGGCAGACGTTGCCGACAGTGTGGTATTTGGTGTACATTGCTGTGTTTTTACATTGTGCATTGCTTTATGAAGTGAGAGGCAAGTGCTGGGTGTATGCAGGAAAGTCACAAATGCACACTGAAATGAGAAACTTTCTTTTTCTTCCAGGATCCATGGGCTGAATGAGAGAATCTCAGTTGAGAATTATGAGAAACAGGTCGAGTTCCTCTTCCAGCTGATGAAGAACTGCGATACGGAGAAGCTGCCGGAGCCTCACGCCAACTCCCACGAGCTGTGAGAAATACACCTGAGAAGAGCAGCTACTCAGGTGGACTCTGGGATGGCAGGGGATGGGCTATAGCATCCAGTTTGGCTTTTGTATATTGTGGTTTACATACAGATGGAAAAACTGCTGGTTGCTGCTTGAGGCAAATGTAGGGTTTGCTGGAAAGTGATAAGAACCTGGACAAAACACAACGAATAACGCTGGTTTCTCTTCCTCCCTGGTCTGACATGCAGCCGTTAGTCTGATGGTATTAATTTTTTCAGTGCTTTCTTTAAGCCTCTGAAATTGGTAGTCACTTAAAAATTCTAAGCTATAATCAGCAGTCACTTGCCTATCAGTAAAAGAGGGGAATTGTCCTGTGTGTGCTTTTGACAAACTCATTTTATACAGTTGATTGATTTTTCATAAATGATGTGTCTTGTCAAAAGCCCACGTGAAAGATTTGTGTCGTGGTGTAGGTTTCATGTAATTGGTAGAATGACACTAAGAGTTTGTGGCACTGCTGCTCAGTCTGGGCTCCTCCCTGGGTGATGGTCTCAACCAGCATCAACAGGGCTCTCAACCAGGGGCGGTGATAACTTGGTACTGCTGAGTTCTCCCATGCATGCACTGATTTCTGACTCTTGGGTGGTGATAACTTGGTACTGCTGAGTTCTCCCATGCATGCACTGATTTCTGACTGTTTTAAAATACTGAGCTCCAGAAGTTCTAGCTATGTTGCTTTAACTGATGTTCCCTTCGTCTCAGAGGTGCTGAAAACTTTTCTTCCTGTCTTTCCAGTGTCTCTTTGGTTATTTTTTCTGTCTCTCACTCTTTGGTATGGCCCAGGGTATGTTTTAGTGTCTCTTTTTTTTTAATGTGTCTCACTCTTTGGTATGGCCCAGGGTATGTTGTGCAGTGGGCTGTCAGAATAAGGAATTGCAGTTTTAAATAAGAAACTAAATTGGTGTTTTCTGCTCATACGTTTTCTCTTATCACTGAGTTGGTCTCTGTAGTGTGTGTTCTCTTTTGCTCCTCTGAGAACTTGATAGGGAAAGATGGTGAAGCCCTTGAGTTTCTTCCAGTTTTGGGGAGCAGAGAGTGTGCCTTCGCTGCCCGCCTGAGCGGTTTTCACTTCACACAGTGATTCTATTGACTCAGCTCTTTGGGAATCCTGGTGTAAACAGGCCATTGACATTGATTCTGTTTCATCTTGCACTTCTTGTACTAGCATGCTTTGTTAGCACCAAAGGGTTAAGCGTTCTTTTGGCCTTGATAGTCTCTTTAGTTGGAGTTACCATTATTACAGTGTTAAGACCCAGATGTCAGCCAAAATTGTGAAGATTGCTTTGTCACACTGACATGCAGACTCTGTGCTGCAGGCACTAGTGCAGTTCCTCCTGTTGCACTGTTGCAGAGCTGTGTCTCTCTTTTTCAGAGTTTGAATTATGCACTGGAATGGGTGGTTGTTCTGCTCTAAATTCATATTATAAAATGCACTGGAATGTACAGGAAATACCCTGAAACCTATCCTGAAAAACAGCGATGGAACTGGGATTCCTATTCTTTCCGTTCACCGTTCTCTATTTATTTGCAGTCTGATCTTATCAGTATGGCCAACGGGGTAAAACTGCATCAATCTACTAAATAATTGAAGCCAGATTGCCATTTTTATCTAATAAAACAAGGAATGCGGATTCTTTTCGGATAATTATTTCGTCTTTTTATGTAACCGTATAATTGCAATGAAGTCATTTCCACACCTGATTCTACACTAGATCAAGTCGTAAAGTTTCCATCAAAACAAATCCACATATTTTCCAGCCTGCTTTCATCTTTGCACCCTCCCTGGTGCACCCCTTTCTGTACAAAACGAGCTAACGCTGTTTATGCATTATTAGGTAGTAAGTAGCTTGCATCTTTTACGGTTTGTTGCATTTTGTCTGTGTGCTCTAACATCATTCATTTGTTTAGCCACACGTCTGTGGCTCTTTTGTGAAGGTGTCATTCCTCTTGCAAACTCCCGTTGCAGACACAGCGAAAGTGATGTGTCAGGGTACAGCACAGAGTGAAATGCATCCCTGGGAGTGGGAGGTAGAGGAAAATTGTTTGGGTTTTTAGACAACTGAGTCTAAAGCCTTCACTTTGACTATGGCAGTATAGGATCAATATTGTTTAACATCTTCATTAATGACCTGTGCTCTCCCATTACCCATCCTTGGCAAGTTTGCAGATGGTGTGAGACTGGGAGGAATGGTTGACTTGCCCAGTGGTTGTGCTGCCATTTGGAGGGACCTCGACAGGTTGGAGAAATGGGAGAGCAGGACTCTCATGATATTCAGCAAAGGGAAGTGCAAAGTCCTGCACCCGGGGAGGAATAATCCTGTGCTGGGGACTGGCTGGCTGGAAAGCAGCTTTGCAGAGAAGGACCACAGGGTCCTGGTGGACAGGTTGAATATGAGCCAGTAACATGTTCTGGAGGCAAAGGAGGCCAAAAGTGTCCTGGGAGTGAAGATTAGGTGATGTCCCAACGTGCCTTCCAATCTCAACCATTCTGTGATTCTGTTGTAGGGCACAGGATGTGAAAATCCTAACTCAGATCATGCTGTTGTGCAGTGGAGGCTGTGTTGTAGTAGTGAAGAAGGGATTCATTGCCTGTTGTAATAGCAAATGGGTCCTAAAGACATAAAGCATCCTCTATATTTTGTAATCTGCCCCCAACCAAAAATCACTCGTCTCTGTGTTTTGGTGAGGATTGTTTCTCTAGAGAACATCCATCTGAAGATTCATTTTGCTGCTGAAGGAAAAGTGAAGGGCAAACAGCGCTGGGGAGGCAGGGTTGTTTTTGGCAGGTACTGTGCAAATGTCTGCCATGAGGTTTTGCTAATGCAGCTTGTTGAGAGCCTCGTTAAGGGTTGCTCATCAGCCAGTGCTGAAATCATGCAGTGCCTCTCTGCATTGAGTAAATGTTCAACAGAGCTTTACTGCAACCTGAAGCCACGGAACTCAAGTGCTTGAAGCAGATCTATCTTGTAGGATCGGATGGTGAAAAAGCACATTCCCCACCTCTGTCCATTTTTCCCAGTCACTTCTGATAATCGTTTGTGCTTTTTTCTGTTCAGCAGCTTTGCCCTTAGTATTCCTAAGCCTCCTTATTTTATCACGTTAGCTGCCATGTCACACTTATCTGGCACAGTTCCGAAGAGTCACGCAATGGTTTGGTATCTGCACAACCTCTCCTGACAGAACAGCTTGCTTTCCACCCTGTTTTACTGCTCCTGTGATATATTTTCAGAGGACATCTCTCATTTTGAGTGGTATTTGAAATCTTGGTCTCATCATGTAAATAATAGTATCAGGATCATGCACTGGCCTTTTCTGCTAAGATGGTATACAACTTTGCATTGTGTGAGTAGTTACTTGATAATGCCAACTACATCATGAAAACACAGATTAATAGTTCTGTGAGTTATTCTTTTTTTTATTTTTTAATGAGTCACTGTGCTTTGAGCATGTAGAGCAATTACCTTTGATTCATCAGAGAAGGAAAAGCCTGATTTTTCTGCTCCGAAGACACGTAACTTGGTGTCACACCTAATGGGGTTGTGAATGCTGTTTGTATTAGCCCAATTCGGATGTGTTAAACGTGGTTCTGTTATATCCATAGCAACTTCCCTTTTTCTTCCTCCTTTGTAGCCAAGTCTACAAAGCTGCTGTTCTTCTGACAGCATTACTCAGAGTAACCTGTGTGTAATTGTCCAGCCTGCTGGCTGGGAGAGCGGCTGATCTGGGGTCATGCGGGCCTGCCTGCTGCACGATGGAGAAAAGGTCACATTCCACACCTGCATTTTCTAAAGAAAGCTGTGTTGCTGGCCTCTGTTTAAAAGGACGTGGATTATTTTCAGCGCCAAGTGACCATGGAGAGTTCAGGCACCGAGCTGGAGGAGAATGCAGGAACAAGGTGTTTACCAAGTTGTTTCCTCCAGCCTTGCATTTGACACTTGTGTTCTTGGCTCCTCTTTTGCCGTTTTGTTTGGAGCTGGTGAAATCCAGTTTCTCAAGCAGGTGCTGTAGAAGCCTTCCCACTCAGGCCACCAAGCCTGAGCCTTACCAGTGCCACAGAGAAGACATCCACTGAGGAATTTGAAGGCTGCCCAGTCAGTGGTGTCCTTTGCTGTTACAGAAAAGCAGCCCTTGCTTGTAGCTCAGCCTGTCACCCTTAATCCTGACCTTCGGTGGTCTTCAGTACTACCTGCTGCTGTCAGGTTGAACCCTGCATGGATCCTTGTCAACGCGTTCAGGCCTCATCCACAGCTCCTGTGCAGAGTTTGTTAGCAATCTGAAACTTTTACAGCCATATTTGTCACTTCAGTCCCCAAATTCAGGCTCTCGCAGTAACTCTTCATAGAAACTCTGCTGCCGTGACCTGTGAGGTCTCCAGTACAGCACTGCTAGTTGGATGCCACCATCTCTCAGTGCCCGTAGCAAGGCCTAGAGGCTTGCAGAAGTGCTGGCCAGGGAATTATTTGGACAACACAGTGTCAGTTGTGTGTCACCTGAGTTGCCGTGCAGGGGGGCTTGGCTCTGCTTTCCGGTTCCCCGGTTTGCCAGGGCAGCAGGGGTGGGGGAGATAAAGAGCTCAGCGTGGTGGGGAAGGGAGGGACCCGGCCTCGCTCGGTGGAGATCGCTCCGGCTGATTTCAGAGCTGTGATGGTGGGCCCCAGAGGAAGCTGCAGTCACTTCTCAGCAGGAAGGAAAATGACCACATGGAAGGGTGGTTAGTGCAGGGGGTAGGGGACAAAGGGTAAATGCTCTTTGTCACTGATGGATTTACCTATGAGGTGGTCACAGCCCGGGCAGTTGGGTATGAGAAGCAGTGTGCAAGTCATATAGCATATCCCAGGGAGCTTTTCACACATCTTTTAACTTACATTTTTAATCTAACACAATTGTGTGGTTTAATGTAGCCCTGTAAATCCTCAGATCACTTTAACGCTGCGCCTGATCCTGTGATAAAAAGGCAACCACATGGAGGGGCCTGGCTGCAGTTCAGTCATTTAACTGAGTAACCAAAAAAGCTCCTTCTAGTTCATGGCAGGAACCCCCTGCTTGGTGACTGTGCTGACTGTGTGGCAGTGCTGAGGCTCTCCACATGCTCCCTGTCCAGTTTCCACAGCTACAGCAGGTTCTTTTCATGTTTTCTGAACGGTGAGGATGATTAGAGAAAGGCAGCAGTGGATTACCATCACACATTGATCCAGTGGCCAGAGTAAGGGATATGAACTTCTCCAGAAAGCCCATAGGAGAGAACCTGAATGGTTTTTTTTCCAAATTATAACTGTACTGCAGCCACTGCATCTGGTGTGTGTGTATCTTAATTACCTTTAAACCTAGTAGCTCACCTACTCAGCTTGCTCCAGCTTCAGCATAGGTCCTTCTGAGAAGCTCTGTGAGTACTCAGGAAGAATAATTATGATTTGCCCTGGAGCACTTTTATCCTTCCAAGTCCACTTGGATTTTTAATCATTACTACAGTACTGTCTAGTTGTACGGAGACACCAGAAAAGGTCAATCCAATGTCCTCCTTGGGATTTTTGTGAAGTGAGAGGGTCATCATGGAGTAGGAAATAGGGGGCAGTTAAGAGATGATTTTCATTTATTTTTGATGATCACTTTTTTTTTGATACCAGCCTCTGCTCTGATCAGCCTTGTGGTGTTTGTGCTTTCTTCGGCCTAATTTCTGAATATAAATGAATTTGCAGCTTATATCCGGAACGAAGCAGAAATGTGAGGCACGTCCTGCGTCCCCCCGTGACAGGTGTCCCTGCTATCGCGGGGTCATCAGCTGCTGCCACAGGAACCGGTGGCCTCGTGGAACGCAGGAAGCGAGGCCCTTTCAGCTCCTCTCTGCCAGATGCTCTCACGTGGCAGAAAGCCCTGGGGATGTACCTGGCTGAGGTTGACCTGTGTTTGTCACAGCAGGCACAGCACATGGCTCACACCTGAACACAGTTGGGAGCGGTAGTCGTTTGGACCTTGGAAAAAAGGATGGTGATGGTTTTGTTTGCTTCCAGGCTGGTAAAACAGAACTTCCGTGCTCTGCGTTTCTTCTCCCAGATCAGGACCTGATTAGGGTCAGCTGCTGATGCTGTTGCCTGCCCTCATGAACTGCTTTTGCTCCGGACTGACATCTGGAGGGGTAAGTCATTATCCATAACCTATTCAGTCTTTGAGTTGTTCTGTTGGGATTCCTGGTTACAAGAAATCAAGAGTTAGATTTCCTCACAATCCTTGGTCAAAGGTAGCTGGGACTCCATTCAGATCAGGGTTTAGATGGGAGCTGGAACAGGGAGCAAAGGGTTTGACAGGACACTGTCACATTCTATGTTAGGTGGGGGTTTTAAATGACTTCTGCCAAACAGCTTCATTTTACTGGATTCTTCTGTGAAAAGGGGAAGGTCCTCCTACCTAGGCCATCACTGAGAGCTTGCCCAGAGCTGGATGGCTGTTTATGTGGCTGCTGTAGAACATACGGGCACGATCCTCCATGATCTCGTGTAGCTCGATGGTCAAATCTTTCCATTCCAAGCATTTTGTTGCCTTTGGTACCTGCTGCCCTGCAACTGGAAACCCGTTTCCTGCCCTTTCATCCTCTGCCTTTCTGATCTCTGCGCGGCAGTGTCGCTGGTGGGGGTTTTATCTATTTCTGTTTTCTTGTCTCGGGCGGCTTTTGTCTCCGCGCTTCCACTTCCTGAGCCTGCAGCTGGTGGGGCTGGTAATCAACAAGGTCACGTTTTGGTGCGCGTTGTTTTTAGGAAGGTGGGGGAAGATAGGGATTTTCCAAGCCAGGAAGGAAAGATGAAGGCGGAAAGAGAGCCCTACAGAGCAGGTTTGTTTGGACAAAGGAAAAGGGAGGCCAAGGTTGGAGTGGAGGCAGGATTTGGAACTCCAGTTCCAGCCTGAGTGTGGGACTGCGCTACGGCTTTCATTAAGACATCGTCTCTGTGTGTCTCGAGTTTTCCCTGATGTCCCTTTGCTGGTGTCACAGCAGTAGCTCCTGAGAATTAGTGAGATGACTGCAGATGCTTGTCACCCCTTGAAATAGGGGGTTCCAGCAGAGTGTGTGGCAGCAGTTGGGTACTTCACACCGGTGACTGTCCCACGGTGAAAGCAGCACTCTGCTCACCTGCTCTGGAAATTCAGCCTTCTTAAAAGAGACATATTTGCAAAAGTTTTTTGGGCCTGAGGAAGTTAGAAGACTTAAGTGGGTTTATCCAAGTGATCTTGCTACTTCATATAATTACATATCCTGCTCTGCTTCAAGTGCGTTGGTCACCCTTTTTGTGGAATCATGGAATTGTCAGAGCTGGAAGGGAGCTCTAGAGATCATCTCGTCCAACTCCCTGCCAAAGCAGGGCTGCCCAGAGCACATCACTCAGGAGCATCCAGGCGGGGCTTGAAGATCTCCAGAGAAGGGGACTCCACACCCTCCCTGGGCAGCCTCTGCCAGGGCTCTGCCACCCTCACCCCAAAGAAGTTCTTCCTCAGATTGGAGTGGAGCTTCCCGTGGTCCAGCTTGTGCCCGTTGCCCCTCGTCCTCTCACTGGGAACCACTGAGAAGAGTCTGGCTCCATCCTCCTTCAACCTTCTCTTCTCCAGGCTGAAGAGCCCCAGCTCTCTCAGCCTTTCCTCATCAGGGAGATGCTCCAATCCCTCCATCATCTCTGTTGCCCTACGCTGGACTCTCTCCAGTAGTTCCCTGTCTCTCTTGAACTGGGGAGCCCAGAACTGGATGCAGTATCCCAGTTGTGGCCTCCCCAGTGCAGAGCAGAGGGGGACAATGACCTCCCTCCACCTCCTGGCCACACTCTGCCCTATGGCAGCCCAGGATCCCATTGGCCTCTTGGCCACAAGGCCACGTTGCTGGCTCCTGGAGAGCTTATTATCCACCAGGACCCCCAGATCCTTCTCCTTAGAAGTGCTTTCCAGCAGGTCCACTCCCCACCTATATTGATTTACGTCCAAAGCAACAGGAAAGCAAGCTGGATTTTGAGAAGAGCGGTAAGAAATGCAGTAGCCCAGCTCATGCTTTGAAGGTGTCTGGGTCACAATGGATTTCTGGCTGCTGTTGACCGTGGCTGCCTTCATTTCCGTTATTTTAAGAAGTGATGTCACCAGCTGTGGTCACAGCGTGTCCGTGGGGGAGTGTGGTTCCTGACACGCTTCACCCGTCCCACCCTCTCCGAGGCAGGGAGCTGGGGATCACGTCATCCCTCCAGGCAATGACTGGCTGTTGACTGTTTCCTGGGAGGAAAGGAGAGGAAAGGCAGGAAGGAAAAACAACAACTGGTCAAAAGTTCCACTCTTGCATAAAAAAAAAAAAGGAAGTAAAAGGAAAAGATGAATCAGAAGAGCTGCTTTCATTCAAGAACGAAGGGTTCTACAGAGCAACGAGGTAGGAGTTACAGCTTTTTATGTGTGTGTTTGCTGTGATGTTAATAATTGTGATGAAATTCCCTGTTTTCTTTGCGAAGTGACACCAGCGCGGCCCCCGAGCCCGGCAGAGAGGGCTGACAGCCAGCGCCTGCCGCCGGCACCGCCTTGGTGCTGCCGGGCCTCGGTGCGGGGATGCGGGACAGCGCGCCAAAGCTGTGCTTAATTAATTAATGATTTACAGCCTTTTAATGCCCGTCCCCGGCTCACGCTCCTTTTTAAGCTGAGCCGGCTCCATGTGGGCTCGGCCGCACGTGACCGCCTCAGGCCACGCCCCCCGCGCCGCCAAGGGGGCGTGGTCACCCGCCGGCTGCGTGGGCAGCGCGCTGGTGGGGAGGGGCGGGGCCAGGCCGTGACGCCACGAGCGGTCGGCCAATGGTTGGGCTGCGCGGCGCGGCGGGGCAGGGCCACCATTGGCGGGCGGTGATGTCAGGGCGGCGCGGGGCAGCCCGCGGAGCCGAGCGGAGGCAGCGCGGCGGTGAGATGCGCGGCGGGGCCGGGAGGACCGGGAGCGGGGAGCGGGGACCGGGTCGAGACCGGGGTTGGGGTCCCAGCGCGACCAACGGAGGGCCTGCGGCGGCACCGTGCCGCTCGCTCGCTCCGACGGCCGGGGAGGCTCCGTTCCGCTCGGGGCAGCGCTTCTCCCGCGGCCGCTGTCCCCGCCGGCGGGGCTGGGCCGGGCCTCGGCCGCTCCGGAGGTGGTGGCGGTGGGTTTGCCGGGCTCTGCGGTACCCGGAGAAGGGGGGGAGCCCCGCGTTCCCTCCGCCGGCCTCCTCCGGCCGCCGCGGTTGTGCCCGGTGGCTCCGTGCGGGGCTTTGGCCTCCGGGCGGGGTGCCCGTGTCCTGCGGCACCCTCCTGGGTGCTCGCTTTTTGGGGCAGAGAGCTGCTCCTTTCCCCCCCCCCCCAAAATCCCCTGACACGGTCCCCCCCGAAGCGTGGGGAAGGGTTGTGAAAGGCTTAAGGTGCCAAGAGGACAGCACAGCTCATGGCTGTGCCCTTGGTGTATTTTAAAGAGGAAAATTTCGTTGAATGAATGAGCCATTATGCTGGCTGCCGCGAGACCCGACAGAATATCTGTTTTCCTTCCATATATTTCAGGCGAAAGAGGAGTTCTCGGGGAGTGACGTTAAGTCTGAGGCTGCCCAAATGCCAGCTCCCACCCTGCAGCCTGCTCAGCTCCGTACGTAACCTTAGCTGGGAACTTGCTGTTGCTTTAAATAAGAACCTCGTGCTGTAAGGTGAGAAATTCTCCTGGAAGAGGAGGACGACACTGACACTCGGAGCTTGCTGGTGTTGCTGGCCATTTTGTCAGGGAGTTGGAACACAGCAAAAAGCCCACAGGAGCCTCCAGATTCAAATTCTGCCAAGGGACAGTGCCACTGGAGAAAGTGACAAAGCCCTGGTAGTAAGAAGAGCTTTTCAGGATTGTATCATCTCTAAAAGCCAGTCCTTCTCGTATCTACTCTCTGCTTCCTCATCTTTAAGCTTCTGTGTTATTTTGAGGTCTTCATCTGCGTTTCTCCCTGCATTGTGTGCCCCATCGCTGCAGTCGTGCTGCTGGAAGGAGACCTGGAGAAAGGTGCACTGAACTGTCACACATCAAAGAAGAAAAAAACTTGGATCCTGTCTTGGTGGCTGCGGAACCGCACAGCGTCGGGGAGGAGGAGGAGGAGGACTAGAGTGAATTTGGTGTCGTTCCCAGTTCCTGCAGTGTTTCCCTGCTCCCTCAGTGGTTGGTGTCCTCCGTTCCTGGACTTTGCTTGATGGGGATCTCTGCTGCAGGAGCAGTCTCTGCGCTCCAAGGCAGGCGAGCAGGGGTAGGAGAGGTCGGCTCTAGATGCCGGAAAGGCCATTTGTATAAGCTCCTGGCAGAAGATCTCTTCTGGAACAGCTGCTGGCTGTAGGCCCACCAAGCCAAGGGTCAGGATAGCCTCTCTGCAGCATGTCTTCCAAGCCAGAGCAGAAGGAGAGCCACCAGGCCAATGGGGCTGTGCTGCCCATTGTGCCCATGGACTGTCTCACCAGTCCGGACCGGGGGCAGCTGGTGGAGCCCTCAGATTTCCTGGGACCTGATGGTGACGGGGTAGAAGTGGTGGTGCTGGAGTCCCGTGCCAATGCTAAAGGGGTGCGAGAAGAAGATGCCCTGCTGGAAAATGGCAGCCAGAGCAATGAAAGTGATGACACCAGCACGGACCGAGGTCCTGAGCCAGCCTCGCCCCTCAAGGAGACCTCCTTCTCCATCGGACTGCAGGTCCTCTTTCCGTTCCTCCTGGCAGGCTTTGGGACAGTTGCTGCTGGAATGGTGCTGGACATCGTGCAGGTAGGACTGATGCTTCCCTGGCGTGGCACTGGGCTGGGTATCCTGTCTCTGTAGACCATGGCTTGACCCTAAGCCAGCAGGGACTGGAATGTCAAGGCTTGTTCAGCAGATAGCACCACTGAGGGGAGGAGACCTTGTGTGCCACTTGGGGTAGGGAAAGACAAGAGGAGGCCTCAGTAATGTCTGGAGGGGAGGGGAGGAGAAGCTATGGGCATCTTTGCTCCACCTTGGAGGAGGAGGTTGGAGCTGGCACATGGGCAGCCACAGCCACCGTGGCACTGGGCTGGGTATCCTGTCTCTGTAGACCATGGCTTGACCCTAAGGGACTGGAATGCCAAGGCTTGTTCAGCAGATAGCACCACTGAGGGGAGGAGACCTTGTGTGCCACTTGGGGTAGGGAAAGACAAGAGGAGGCCTCAGTAATGTCTGGAGGGGAGGGGAGGAGAAGCTATGGGCATCTTTGCTCCACCTTGGAGGAGGAGGTTGGAGCTGGCACGTGGGCAGCCACAGCCACGTGCCTGGGAACGGAGACCACTCTGCATTATGGCTTGAAATAAACACTCCCCTGAGCTCATCCCAGCTCCAGTCACTGGTTCCACAGGTCCCGTGTCCCTTTCCCATCTGGGATGTTTGCTGCACCGTTCCAGCACGCCAGGCTCGTGCCAGGCAGGTTAATGATTCGCCTGTGGCAGTGTGTGCGGGACAGGGTGGCTTGCTCTGAAGGTCAAAGGCTCTGAGCGGTCCTTAGGCTGCCTTCTCACACTCTGGAAGTGGTCAGGGACTAACAGGATGGAGGTGATCCTTAGGGAAGGCCAGGGGTGACAGGGCTAACAGGATGGAGGTGATCCTTAGGGAAGGCCAGCCAGAGAGCTGGCAGTTCCTCTGGATGCTAACTGATGTGTTGCCAGATGTGGTATCTCGTTAGGTCTCCTGTGATGGGTGACACTGAGAACCTGACAGCCATGCAGATTGCTGGGTTTTTATGTGGGAAACATGACTTCACAGACCTGTGCTGGTCTCGAGCAAAGGTTTTCCAAGAGTTAGTGTCTCTGGCAGTGGATCAGCTGCTGAACCCCTTCTCCTGTGCTCCCATAGACGGGCTGCGCAGATTTATCTCGATGCCCAGCCCAAAACAGTGACTGAGGCACAAAAATCAATCATCCCTGCAGCGTAGGGCTGTGAAACTATTTGGATGGAGGAGGCAGCCATTTTGGAGCTGTGGTCAACCAAAAATGCTCTGCTTGAAGCTCCTCTGTTTGCTTAAGTGGGGTAAACAAGCCGTCACGGTGTTGGCATAGAAAGCCAGGAATGTCGGTGGGTTGTCTGTAGTGCTGGCAGTTCCCATCATCTCCACCCACGCTGTGTACCAGCAGGGTAAGTCAGGCTTTTTTGTGTCTGTGGGTGGTCGAGCAGACACTTCTCTTGCCCTGATGGCTATTTCCCTGGGTGCCTTTGCGCGCCGGTCATCCTTACGGTTCCTCTTGATGCAACCTGTTGAGAGAGCTGTGAAGTGACTCAAAACAGGAAAGGCTGGCTGTGCTAAATTAAGCCAGGAGAGATTTACCGGAATGATTTTCTTAAAAAGAAAGACATTTTTTTAAGAATGCTTCCCTTTGTAAGGTCCCTGTAAACTCCTGCGTGGCTCTTCTGGCAATTTCCCAGAGCCAGGGATTTGAACCCAACCTAAAGCAGAAGGAGGAGCAGGGCAGGGGTGGGACACTGCGGCACAGTGCTGTGTTCTCCTGCCTTATTTTTTTTTTTACAGCCATTAAAAATAAAGCTTAGTAATTCCTCAGTCCCACAGCAGCTCAGCATGTGGCTACGCAGCTTGTCCTGCCAACTCCTCTAACTCCCTGTAGCCTTGGGATTAAATGAGGCGTCTAAATGCCATGGGGTGGAAAAGGGGGATGGGAAGCCTGTGGTCACAGCTTTCTTGCCTGCAGGGTCTGGGGAGCTGATCTTGAGGACTGGCTTCTTGGAGAGACTCATCCCTTGGATGAAAGGAGGGAGGCACGTGGAGTGGGTGGCTGAGGCACTGGGACGGACTGGAGTCCCATTGCTTTGGGTGCAGCCGTGGTTTGTGATAGATGGAGGGCTCCATACACTCAATTTCCTCGGGTTTGGATAAACAGACTAATCAGCCAGCTGTAATTGGTCTCCCCGCTGTGAAAACAAGCAGCCCTGGCGTTTGGCCACACTGTCCCATTAATGTGTCCCTGTGAATTTGCATCTCAGGAGGAGAATTTGCCTCTGCTCCCTTTGGGATCGGAGAGACCTTTGGGCCAGGTGACATGTGAACGTTCCAGCTGCTTTTGTGTGTACAGTAGAGAGCTGTTGGCACACACCCCTCTCCCAGCAGAGCTCTGATTGTTGTTTTCCACGCTTGTCTGCTCCCTGGAGGTTCTTTGGATGGGATGGACAGTATTTCATAGGGAGGAGGGAGTCTGCTCCTTTCCCCTTCTTGACCCCCTCTGGTGTTAGCATCCCTCTGGGGTGGCTCTTACTGAGGCCAGGGGGGCTCCCAGCCCTGGAGCTGGAGCTCTGCTGTTAAGGCCGCTTATTCCTTGGCATTTTGGAGTCGTGGCTCCAACCTGCAGCACGTCCCTCCCCTCTGAGCCCTCATGAGTCACCACCCAGCTATCACCCGAGCGGAACCACGCTGTTACTCATGACTCCTCTGAGCCTTAACTTTGCAACCCGGTGACTAAAAATGACAGGGGCTGAGAGGCAGCTGTTACCCAGGAAATATCTGCTGTCTGCAGGTGCAAAGCAGCGAGCCTGGAGGAAACTGCAAAACACCACCTGGGCTTTGATGTTTCTTCCAGAACCTTTGGCAGGACAGGGTCCCATCTCACCCCTCCAGTGAGAGGTGATTTGTGTTCACAGCGACCACAGGCTTAGTAGAAAATGAAGCTGAAATAAGTTAAAACCTGGATTGCTTATAGTCTCTCTGCTCCCCATCCCCAGAGGGCAAGGAGGAGGTGCTGGAGATGAATTCCCTCGCCCTGTAATTCTCTGCTGAAAGGCAGCTGGGAGCCCACTTGTTCCCAGTGTGACTGGATGCTCTGGGAGGATCCAGATGCTGTGTTAGCATCCCTCCTCGCCCCCAAAACCAGCTTGTTTTTGAGCTTCTCGGAGGGGCTGTTGCAGGGGGAAAAGGGATTTTAACAGCTCAGTGTCCTGAATTTAAATTCATATTTTCTATTCTCTTTCTTTTTTGTCTTCTCCAACCAGATGGGCTCTGGTCCTCCCCTTGTAGCCCCATCGTGGGCACGCATCTCCACGGGGAGCGTTCCTCTCTGCAGGAGCCAGGGAGGCCTTGGAGAAGCACTAAATGCCCGTACACCAGTGTTGTATAACATCTTATATTAAGAAAGTTGGCGGGAGCCCACGGGTCCTGCTCTTTGCAGCCGGCGAGCTGCTGATGTCTGCAGAAATCTCCTTGTTTTCCTTCCCCGAAGATGCCTTTTATTCCTTTCTCCAGGAACACCCCTGTCCTGCTCAGGGACCTGCTTTCTCAGGCTCCAGTTACAGCAGCTTTTGGCACCGATTTGCAGCGCAGCCTCCTTTAAAGGTTAATTTCTGAAGCCAGGGCTGGGACGAGGTGAGGGAGGGCTGTGAACTTGCACGAGTTGTTGCCTGATCCTGCCCCTGTGATCTCTGGAGGCAGAAAGAGCCAGGAAAGTTTGGCGCAGCGCTTCCAGCGATGACGATGTTCCTCTCATTAAGTGATTCTGGTGACACCCAGCTCGTCCTGCTGGGAAGCTGGAGCACGTTGCTGATGGAATTCTAGATATTGCTCAGGGAAGTTTCTGAAGCAAAGGATTCAACAAGCAGCAAAATAATCTTAATCTTAGAATGGTTTGGGTTGGAAGGGACCTTAAAGCCTATCCATTGCCACCCCCTGCCCTGGGCAGGGACATCTCCCACCAAACCAGGTTGCCCCAAGCCCCATCCAGCCTGGCCTTGAACCCCTCCAGGGATGGGGCAGCTTCTCTGGTCAACCTGTTCCAGGCTCTCACCACCCTCACAGCAAAGAATTTCCTCCTAATATTTCATCTAAATCTACCCTCTTCCAGTTTGAACCCATTACCCCTCATCCTGTCGCTATGAGCCCTTGTAAAAAGTCCCTCCCCAGCTTTCCTGGAGGCCCCCTTCAGATATAAGCCAGCTATAAGGTCTCCCCAAAATGCCTGCCTAAAAATAGGCTGAGGAGAGCTGAGCTCGCCTGTTCCTAGACGTGACCTTAACGAAGCCCAGGCTGATGTGCCTCTGTGTGGGATGAAGTATTTCAGACTGATTCTGCCTCGGTGGGAAGGTCTCCCATGTCAGGTTAGGTGGGTGTGGGGTGGCTGGAGCCGGGGCTGCAGGGACCACAGTGGTTTCCTTGGGTGTTGCCCATCAGAGTGGCTGGAAAGGGCTGTTTGTTGCATCTGGAGAGTCTGGGACCTGAGTGTCCTCAGGAGCCTTGTCCTCGAGCAGAGAGAGGGCTGTGGCTGTGCCTGAAATAGCTGAGCAGCTTTCAGCCCTGCGCCTGGGAGCTGGAGAGCATGGTCAGCATGTCTTACCGACCTGGCAGAAATGCTAGGGAGATTTTTATTGACTGGAAAACTGTTTGGTTTTTTTTCCCCTTTGAGGAAAAACGGTGTTGGTTCATCCATCTCAAGCATTTACCTGCCTCCTGCAACCACAGTTCTCTCTCAAATGGGTTTTCGAGTGAGTGCAGCTGGAGTGAGAGTGTTGCAAAGGACCTGGAAGGGAACTGGGATGTGTTGGCTGGGTGGTAAAGGCGAGCAGCATAAAGGGTGGAAAAATAAACAAAAATACCCGAAGTCCTTCCCTGCAGGAAGGTATTAGTCATGCAGGTAGAGTGACTTGTATTCTCTGTAAGGTGTTGGCCAATAGTGCTCCTTGTCTGGTGAGCCTGAGGGTCTGACACCTCCGTGGAGAGCACCGCAAGAGATGGAGCCTATTGCAGGTAATGTTTTTAGGAAGAAAACTGTGAATTCCACAGCTTTTTAAGTGTTTAAGTAACACTTTTAAGTGTTCAGCCACTGAGGGTGTGATTCCAGCCGTGTCCCGTAAGGGCTGGGGCAGCCAGGCAGCAGGAGTTATTTTGGACACGGGGCCTGGTGGCAAAAACAGTCATGAAAATAAAGGATTGGGCAGTGAGGGCTGTGGAGCTTGCGGGGTAACGTTTTTTAAATGCTGTTGTGAGGTTTTGGGGGGTGTTTTTGTGTTTTCATGGAAGTCAGCTGCTCTCCTCTAAGGCTGCTCACCCTGCAATTACTCTTTGGTTTTTTTCCTAAATAATTGTGTCTGCCTTTTCTCCCTCATGCCCAAGAGAGCTCTGACCGTAGAGCCAGAAGAGTTAGAAAATTCTTGTGTAATGGAGGTGCCAGCTGAGGGAGGGCACCCAGCACCTTGTGAGGTAGGGGGGACAGAGACCACGGTGGGTGGCTTTTTGGAGCTGGCAGGATCAGGAAGCAGCAATGCCTTGCTCCAGAAGGTATTTGTAAGGCATACATGGTAGGGAATGGCTCTCAGCTGAGACTGACCCGACCTCAGTATTCGATTCTGCCAAAAACTGTAAGTATTGGGCAAAACCTCTTCATCTTTCCCTATTTTGGCCCCCGCATGCGTAAACTTTTTGTCAGTGGTTAATCTTTGGGGGATTTTTTTTTTGTAACTGAAAGTTGCAGGCTGAGATCCGGTTCTTAAGCTCAGTGGGAACATGTGGTCACTACTACAGGAATGTCAAAACCAGTAAAATCACTGCAAAAACACAGCGTGGCACCAGGAGGGGAACTGGTCGGTCTGCTCAGGGCCACATGGCACGAAGGAGGATGAGTAAGTGACGCTGGGTCCAAAGCAAAGGTTTCTAACAGCCAGGATTTTATTTTTAATGGTCTTTTTTGGTTTTGTTTTGTTTCCATTTCGCAGCACTGGGATGTCTTCAAATACGTGACGGAGGTATTTATCTTAGTGCCCGCGTTACTGGGCCTGAAGGGGAACCTAGAGATGACTCTGGCGTCTCGCCTGTCGACGGCTGTGAGTATCCAGGGAGTCGAGGGATGGAGCGGGATACCTGGGATGGGAAGGGGGGAGAAGGCACATATTTGTGGCTGGGCACACGGAGGTATTTATCTTAGTGCCCGCACTACTGGGCCTGAAGGGGAACCTAGAGATGACTCTGGCGTCTCGCCTGTCGACGGCTGTGAGTATCCAGGGAGTCGAGGGATGGAGCGGGATACCTGGGATGGGAAGGGGGGAGAAGGCACACGTTTGTGGCTGGGCACACAAAAATCTCTGCAGTCAGCACCCACGGAAAGCAGAGCCTGGATTTTAGCAGGCTGGGGAGGTGTCTTCATCCCACTGGGTTGATGAGATTTGAAGGTTTAATAGTCCTTCAGCTTTGCTGACAGTTTGCTGCCTTGTGGTGGCTGCTGGTGGGCCTGGGGGCACGGTGTGTGAGCTGGCTGTGGCAGTGTAATGTCTGGAGTGCTTGGATCCCATTCTCTTCACGAGGAAGCTGGGTGCAGGCGTGCCATCAGGCTAAAACAAGCCAGGTTCAGGAGGTCTAGAGATGACAGAGCCTGGAGAGGACTGTCCAGCAAAGGCTGGAGCAGAGGGGACCTTGCAGTGAGAGCTGGGAGGTGGATTGACAGCCTCTCCAAGCTGATGGAGAGCACAACTGGGCATTTCTCTCCCTAGAATTCACTCCAATTCCTGTGAAACAGTGAGTTCCCTGTGAGAGACGGGGGCAGGCTCTGTTGGCTCCTCTGAAGGCTGCGTTAGTCCAGCTGTAAATGAATTGCTTTGTGTTTAAACCATTCTGTAACTCAGCAGTCTGTCTCTGGAGCTGAGCGGTGCTGGAGAGAGACTGAGATCCTCTCCTAACGGGGACAATAATGCTCCTTCCTTCTGCAAAGCATCTTCTGCTTGAGCAGGACAGCGAGTGACTGCCTGGTGCTTCTGTGGTGGGAGAACGTGTGGCTTTGAGTCTTACATCTTCTCTTGTTCTTCCACCTTGAGCCATGGGGTGATGCCAGCTCTGACTCTTTGCTCCTCAGTAGGTGCTTCTTCACCTCTGAGGCCCAAGGTTTCTGGTGCATTCCTGGGTGGCTTTGAGCTGCTCATCCAGCCTTTGTCACCAGCAGCCCCTCCTGTCCCTTGAGCAGTAGCTCCTTATATGTACCCTATGGAAAGCTGCTCTCATCCAGTGGACCCAGTAGCACATGAGCATCATTTTCGGTAGAGTCTAGGGTTCTGTAGAGGTACCTGTAGAGATTCCTGGAGAGTGGGGAGGCAAGCTGGAGGGGAGCAGATTTAGACTGGAGATGAGGAGAGGGTTCTTCACTGTGAGGGTGGTGGAGCACTGGAACAGGTTGCCCAGGGAGGTGGTTGAGGCCCCTTCCCTGGAGATATCCAAGGAGAGGCTCGACGAGGCCCTGGGCAACCTGGTCTAGTTGGGGGTGTCCCTGCTGACTGCGGGGGGGTCGGACTAGATGACCTTTGGAGGTCCCTTCTGGCCTGGGCAATTCTATGATTCTATGATTCTATGAAACAGCATTTCCCTGGACTAGCCCTTGGCTTGGCCTCTGCCCCTCAGCCCCTGCTGATGGTGGGTACCACCTCCTCCTCGGATCCAGCCCTCGATGGTGGTTCTCTGATGGAGCAGGGCACTGAGCTGCCTGGAGGGTGGCCATGTCAGCCATACTTGGCAAAACCCAGGCTGTGGTGGCTTCCCTTTGGTGCTGGTCTCCTCTCCCTGGGCACTGCTGGGGAGGACAAAGCTGCTGGGAGGCTTCGTGCAGCCCCTGGCCCAGCTGTGCCCCAGTGCTGGGGCTGGCAGGGACAGAGGCCGAGCGCCGTGGCTCATGAACCAGGCTGAGCTTTGTTTGCCCCTTCGTTCTGGGAAACAAATCCCTTTGTTTTATTCACTCTCTATTGTTGGGATCATGTCAGGGTCCTTGCTGTCCCAGACACAGGCTGTTCTCCCTCCTGGCCTTGGCCAGCTTGCACTTTCTGAGCATGGGCTTATCGGGGTGAGTGCCTGGCTCTCCTGGGACAAAGGCAGCCCGGCATTTCTCCGTCCCCTTCCCTGATGGGGCTGGCATGGAGCAGCGTTGGGGCAGGCTTGGCAGGGAAACGAGACTGTGCAGAAAGTCCCAGGAATGCAAAACTTTCCCTTATCTGCTCCAGTGGCTGCAGCAGGGTCACGAAACTGGCACAGAGAGCACCCGTCCAGCTTGCCCGTGCCCAGCGGCCGCTGCCCTCGCACCAGTTTGGTCTCCTGATGCTTCCTCCTGTCCCCAAGCTGGTGACTGTGGGGTGGCATTAGCCTCGTGGGCCCAAATCCAGGCTTTGTCCTCTGCTTTCCTTTGCCCTGGAAGGAGAGAAAAATCTGCTGCCTCTACACGCATCCCCTCGCCGTGCACTTTTGGTTTTGTTTTGTTTCCAGCACTGGGATGTCTTCAAATACGTGACGGAGGTATTTATCTTAGTGCCCGCACTACTGGGCCTGAAGGGGAACCTAGAGATGACTCTGGCGTCTCGCCTGTCGACGGCTGTGAGTATCCAGGGAGTCGAGGGATGGAGCGGGATACCTGGGATGGGAAGGGGGGAGAAGGCACATATTTGTGGCTGGGCACACAAAAATCTCTGCAGTCAGCACCCACGGAAAGCAGAGCCTGGATTTTAGCAGGCTGGGGAGGTGTCTTCATCCCACTGGGTTGATGAGATGTGAAGGTTTAATAGTCCTTCAGCTTTGCTGACAGTTTGCTGCCTTGTGGTGGCTGCTGGTGGGCCTGGGGGCATGGTGTGTGAGCTGGCTGTGGCAGTGTAATGTCTGGAGTGCTTGGATCCTGTTCTCTTCACGAGGAAGCTGGGTGCAGGTGTGCCATCACAGAATCACAGAATCTTCTAGGTTGGAAGGGACCTTAAAGATCATCTTGTCCAACCATCAACCTAACTGACAAAAATAGACACCCGCACAACAAACAAGGAGCATCATCACTAAACCATCCCTCCCAGCACTACATCAACCCGTCTTTTGAACACCTCCAGGGATGGGGCCTCAACCACCTCCCTGGGCAGCCCCAGCTTTGCTGACAGTTTGCTGCCTTGTGGTGGCTGCTGGTGGGCCTGGGGGCACGGTGTGTGAGCTGGCTGTGGCAGTGTAATGTCTGGAGTGCTTGGATCCCATTCTCTTCACGAGGAAGCTGGGTGCAGGCGTGCCATCAGGCTAAAACAAGCCAGGTTCAGGAGGTCTAGAGATGACAGAGCCTGGAGAGGACTGTCCAGCAAAGGCTGGAGCAGAGGGGACCTTGCAGTGAGAGCTGGGAGGTGGATTGACAGCCTCTCCAAGCTGATGGAGAGCACAACTGGGCATTTCTCTCCCTAGAATTCACTCCAATTCCTGTGAAACAGTGAGTTCCCTGTGAGAGACGGGGGCAGGCTCTGTTGGCTCCTCTGAAGGCTGCGTTAGTCCAGCTGTAAATGAATTGCTTTGTGTTTAAACCATTCTGTAACTCAGCAGTCTGTCTCTGTAGCTGAGCAGTGCTGGAGAGAGACTGAGATCCTCTCCTAACGGGGACAATAATGCTCCTTCCTTCTGCAAAGCATCTTCTGCTTGAGCAGGACAGCGAGTGACTGCCTGGTGCTTCTGTGTTTAAAACAAGCCAGGTTCAGGAGGGCTAGAGATGAGAGAGCCTGGAGAGGACTGTCCAGCAAAGGCTGGAGCAGAGGGGACCTTGCAGTGAGAGCTGGGAGGTGGATTGACAGCCTCTCCAAGCTGATGGAGAGCACAACTGGGCATTTCTCTCCCTAGAATTCACTCCAATTCCTGTGAAACAGTGAGTTCCCTGTGAGAGACGGGGGCAGGCTCTGTTGGCTCCTCTGAAGGCTGCGTTAGTCCAGCTGTAAATGAATTGCTTTGTGTTTAAACCATTCTGTAACTCAGCAGTCTGTCTCTGTAGCTGAGCAGTGCTGGAGAGAGACTGAGATCCTCTCCTAACGGGGACAATAATGCTCCTTCCTTCTGCAAAGCATCTTCTGCTTGAGCAGGACAGCGAGTGACTGCCTGGTGCTTCTGTGTTTCCGTGGTGGGACAACATGTGGCTTTGAGTCTTACATCTTCTCTTGTTCTTCCACCTTGAGCCATGGGGTGATGCCAGCTCTGACTCTTTGCTCCTCAGTAGGTGCTTCTTCACCTCTGAGGCCCAAGGTTTCTGGTGCATTCCTGGGTGGCTTTGAGCTGCTCATCCAGCCTTTGTCACCAGCAGCCCCTCCTGTCCCTTGAGCAGTAGCTCCTTATATGTACCCTATGGAAAGCTGCTCTCATCCAGTGGACCCAGTAGCACATGAGCATTGTTTTTGGTAGAGTCTAGGGTTCTGTAGAGGTTCCTGTAGAGATTCCTGGAGAGCAGGGAGGCAAGCTGGAGGGGAACAGATTTAGATTGGAGATTAGGAGAGGGTTCTTCACTGTGAGGGTGGTGGAGCACTGGAACAGGTTGCCCAGGGAGGGGGTTGAGGCCCCATCCCTGGAGATATTCAAGGAGAGGCTCGACGAGGCCCTGGGCAACCTGGTCTAGTTGGGGGTGTCCCTGCTGACTGCGGGGGGGTCGGACTAGATGGCCTTTGGAGGTCCCTTCCGGCCTGGGCAATTCTATGATTCTATGATTCTATGAAACAGCATTTCCCTGGACTAGCCCTTGGCTTGGCCTCTGCCCCTCAGCCCCTGCTGATGGTGGGTACCACCTCCTCCTCGGATCCAGCCCTCGATGGTGGTTCTCTGATGGAGCAGGGCACTGAGCTGCCTGGAGGGTGGCCATGTCAGCCATACTTGGCAAAACCCAGGCTGTGGTGGCTTCCCTTTGGTGCTGGTCTCCTCTCCCTGGGCACTGCTGGGGAGGACAAAGCTGCTGGGAGGCTTCGTGCAGCCCCTGGCCCAGCTGTGCCCCAGTGCTGGGGCTGGCAGGGACAGAGGCCGAGCGCCGTGGCTCATGAACCAGGCTGAGCTTTGTTTGCCCCTTCGTTCTGGGAAACAAATCCCTTTGTTTTATTCACTCTCTATTGTTGGGATCATGTCAGGGTCCTTGCTGTCCCAGACACAGGCTGTTCTCCCTCCTGGCCTTGGCCAGCTTGCACTTTCTGAGCATGGGCTTATCGGGGTGAGTGCCTGGCTCTCCTGGGACAAAGGCAGCCCGGCATTTCTCCGTCCCCTTCCCTGATGGGGCTGGCATGGAGCAGCGTTGGGGCAGGCTTGGCAGGGAAACGAGACTGTGCAGAAAGTCCCAGGAATGCAAAACTTTCCCTTATCTGCTCCAGTGGCTGCAGCAGGGTCACGAAACTGGCACAGAGAGCACCCGTCCAGCTTGCCCGTGCCCAGCGGCCGCTGCCCTCGCACCAGTTTGGTCTCCTGATGCTTCCTCCTGTCCCCAAGCTGGTGACTGTGGGGTGGCATTAGCCTCGTGGGCCCAAATCCAGGCTTTGTCCTCTGCTTTCCTTTGCCCTGGAAGGAGAGAAAAATCTGCTGCCTCTACACGCATCCCCTCGCCGTGCACTCTGCCTCCTTGTATCTGTGCCTGGTGGGACAGGGCCATCTCTTGGGCTTTTCTGGTTTTTTTCCCCCCCTTGCCCCATTCTTCCCCTGGCGTGGGGGATCCACGTGTGGAGGGAGCTCCCCTCTGACCAGGGCATCACGGTGTGGGTCCCGTGCCCTCCCCGCAGGAAAGCAGCTTGCAGTAGTTTCTCAGACCTGTGGGTTTCTAATTAGTGCTGCATTAAGGCACCTCTGAAATTCCTTTCACAATTAAGAAGCAAAACTCTCCCATTAGTTAAAGGATTAAAATCCTGTTGCCAGTGACTACAGCTAGGTTATGTTAATCCCAACCTAATTGCCATGTGGCTGGAATTTTAAGGTCAGGCTTCATATGGAGCTCAAATTCCTGTGCTGGATGTGCTGAGTGTTCCTCCAGTCAACTTTTTGTTAGTTTTTCCCCCGTTCCTTCCTCCTCTCCGCTAAACTGAGCAGAATAATTCACTCCAGAGGTGGGTGCATCTCAGTGCTGGGTGAAAAGAGCTGGCAGTTCCCTCAAATGCATGCAGTAAGGAGAGCAGAAGGATTAGCTGATCACTGATTTCTTGGGGCTTTTTTTTGTGGAGACCAGTAAGGAAACCCAAGAGGAAGAAATTTCTGCTGTGTTGTTGTGCAGACATTGGGACTTTGATGCTGTCAGCCAGTAACTCCAACGTGCATTTATCACTTGAGGTTGTTTGAGCCTCTCCCTCATTTCCTTTCTATGTCCATCAGCTTCTAATAATACAGGACTGGATAATAAGATTATACCTGCTTACCTGTTCTTCCAACTCTCCTTATAAAGACCTAGGGAAGAGCAGAACCCTTCTGCTCTGTGGCAACCAGCAACCTGCAGTGATTCTGCTGGGTTGTTCTGGATCGGACGCCAGGGGAATTAAAGCAACTTTCCATCTCTTCTGGTTAGTCTGATTAGCATCTCTCGCAGCGGTGCCAGATGACCCCTGTGCCATGGCTGCTTCCCGTTACTCAGTAGGTCTCCACGTGGCATTACCCTTGTTTACTCAGCTTTTAACTGAAGCAGTCGTTCTCGCTGCCAGCTCCCTCTGCCCACGTGGTGCTGCACCGGCCTGGGTCCCTGTCGGAGCTGGGGCACACAGTTGACCCCGGGGAGAATTCTGGATCGGACGCCGGGGGAATTAAAGCAACTTTCCATCTTTTCTGGTTAGTCTGATTAGCATCTCTCACAGTGGTGCCAGATGACCCCTGTGCCACGGCTGCTTCCCGTTACTCAGTAGGTCTCCACGTGGCATTACCCTTGTTTACTCAGCTTTTAACTGAAGCAGTCGTTCTCGCTGCCAGCTCCCTCTGCCCACGTGGTGCTGCACCGGCCTGGGTCCCTGTCGGAGCTGGGGCACACAGTTAACCTTGGGGGGAGGTTGGTGTACCCCCAATTCCCCTCCTGCCTGACTTTAGGGGCAGCACGACCCAGCTGGGCACGAGCCAGGCTTGGCTTGGTTGCCAGCAGAGTGAATTCAGTGAGTAAATAAGCTGCAGTGCGTGACTCTGCACGGGGACAAAGTATATCTTGGTGCTTTTGCAAGATTTTCGTCAGGCGTCCCGTTGACGTCGATTCCCCTTTACCCTCCCTTCCAAACCCCCTCTGCAGTGGGTCAAACACACACACGTGGGCACACACACACCTTTTCCACTGAATTGCTCTCCCCTAAGAGCTAAAGGACTTGAGGTCTTTCTTCTCTCCTGCTCCTGGCACAGGCTGGCATAGCTGGGAGGCAAGAATTTGACTGTTAGCAAATGGAAGATGCTGTCAGTCTTTAATGACGTTGCAATGTCCTCTTGCAGGCTAATATTGGCCAAATGGATACACCCAAAGAGCTCTGGAGGATGATAACGGGGAACATGGCTCTGATACAGGTAAGGAAAAGGAGAAGAAAGTGGAAATATTGGTAGTTGATGCAAGCCCAGCTGTGACACGTGTCGGTAGGTTTAAATGCGTGGGATTTGCTATTGACTGTCATTATTGCATGTCTAATGAGGAGGCAAATGGCACCTTTTTGTCCCACAGTCATCTTACCGTAGGGGTTTGCCCTGTAGATTACACTTGATACTTCCCTGCTGGATGCAGATCCACCTGGAATGGTACCCAGGGTGGTGTTTCCCTCCTCCCTCACCCTGGGAGCATTTTGCTCTCCGGTCCTCTTGCTGACTGTCTAGTTTTCATTTTCAGGTTCAGGCTACTGTGGTTGGCTTCCTGGCCTCGATCGCAGCCGTGATATTCGGATGGATCCCAGACGGGCACTTCAGCATTGACCATGCTGTCCTGCTCTGTGCCAGCAGCGTGGCCACTGCTTTCATTGCTTCCCTTGTTCTGGGTGAGAGACAGACCCTGCACACCCTACAGGCACCTCTTCCTCAGATGCTAGGCTCCCCTTGGCCTCATCCTGTTTTCTCCTTCTTTTTGGCTCTAGGCATGATTATGATTGGGGTCATCATCGGATCCAGGAAGATGGGGATCAATCCCGATAACGTGGCCACGCCGATTGCTGCCAGCCTGGGGGATCTCATCACCCTGGCTCTGCTTTCAGGAATCAGCTGGGGCTTGTACAAAGAGCTGGGTGAGGAGCAACAAAAGGTCTTTGTCTCTCCCTGGTCCTTCCAACGTGCCCAGCATCTCCCTCGTGATGCACCCTCTTCCTTTACCCTTCCCGACCTTGGGGTATGTGGGATCCTGGCCTGGAAGCCACCTCAGTTAGTGAGACCTAGTCAGAACTGATAAAGGGAGGAGAAGAACCTTCTTGCTGCCTTCTAGCTGCAGACAGCCTTGGCAGTGACCTGCAAGCTTCCTTCTCACCAGGTAAAGTGGTAAGGGAGAGGTTGTCCCCTTCCAAGAGCCGGGGGCTTGACTGGCTAAAGCAGGGGGAAAAGGCAGCTTGGGATTTCATCTTTTGTCCTGTCAGCCCAGCTGGGAATCCTCCGTGCTGAGCTGCAGCTGTGGGTTCTAGGCTTCCTCCTCCCTCCTCTCCTTCCTTCCCCGGTGGCTGGGATGAGGGGATGTGACTCAGCCAGGTTCAGCCAGAGGTGAAGCAACACCGGGATGTCTTGCCCAGGAGCAGGAAGTGGGAATGAGCAGTTGAAATGGAAGATGCCTCACCCGGATCTGTCGATAACCCTTGATAAAAACCAGGAGAAGGAAATACTGTGTCCTGCAGAGCTGGGGCTGGCCTGCTCTAGTTTGCTGGAATCTCTGACTCCAGGGGTGACAGCAGCTTGATGAGCTCAGCTGAATTAGAATCATAGAATGGTCTAGGTTGGAAGAGACCCTTGGGATCATCGAGTCCAACCATCTCCCCTACTCTACAAAGTCCTCCCCTACACCATGTCCCTCAGCACTGCATCTAAACGGCCCTTAAACACAGCCAGGGATGGGGACTCCACCCCCTCCCTGGGCAGCCTGTTCCAATGCCCGACCACTCTTTCGGTGAAAAATTCTTTCCTAATGTTCAATCTAAACCCACCCTGTTGGAGCTTGAAGCCTCTCTCGCTCCGTCACTAATTACCTGTGAGAAGAGCCCAGCACCAACCTCTCTACAGTGTCCTTTCACGAAGTTGTAGAGAGTGATGAGGTCTCCCCTATTTAGCACCTCAGTGCAGCGGGACGTGTCCTTGATCTGGTGCCTCTGCTTATTTCCCCCTCAGAGAGCAAAGCCTACGTGAATCCTTTGGTCTGCGCCTTCTTCATAGCTCTGCTGCCCATCTGGGTCATCATTGCCAAGAAGAACGCGGCCACTCGGGAGGTGCTGTACTCTGGCTGGGAGCCCGTCATCATCGCAATGGCCATCAGCAGGTAGGAAGGCAGGGAAGAGTTCTTCTCCCCAAACACAGGCAGACACAGCACCCTTTTCCCCCAGCCCTTTCGTGGAAAGTTCAGCCTTTCTCCGCTCTTGGTAGATCCCAGACCAAGAGAGAACCAAATCTCTTCTGCTTCCACGGTCCAAACTGCCAGGAAACTGGGGGGTTTTAGACAAAGACACGGGGTTCTAGGTCCCGAGGCACAGGAGTGATCAAGCACCCAACTGCTGGAAATGCAAGGCCTCAGTGATGTCCCAGCTGCTGCACAGGGAGACCCTGGTGTGGCCACGGAGTAAACACAGATCCATGTAACAGTCTTCTGCACAAGAGCCCTCTCTGCCCTCTGATTTTTTGCTGCTTTTGATTATTGTGTTGCAGTAAACTGCACGCTAAGGGATTTAGTCTTTGATGGCTTTTGGCAGCAATGAGAAAAGTTCCTGCTAAAACTGGTCCTCTCTTATCAAATATCGAGGCTTAAAATCATGTGCAACAACCACAGCTGTAGGTGCATGTCAGTAGGTGTGTGTATCACCCTTGGGTGCACGCACTGCAGCAGGGAGAGCACCCAGTGCTCTGGGTGAGTGTTTCCTGATGAGCTTTCAGCACTGACCTCTCCAATCTTCCCTCTGCAGTGTCGGGGGGTTAATTTTGGACAGAACGGTCTCGGATCCAAACTTTGCTGGGATGGCTGTCTTCACACCAGTTATTAACGGTGAGTTCCTGTCCAACTCTGGTGGTGCAGCTCTTGGAGGCTCTTGGCAGACAGTGGAATTGTCCCGTGTGCTTTATTTCAGGCAGATTAAGGAGACTAATTCCCTCCTAAATGCCAGTGGTGCACAGCGGGTCAGACCCAAGCTCCACAGCAGCGTGGCTCCCTCTGGTGCCAGCCTGTGCCCAGAGGTGACTGGCCCTGGAGGCTGTTGCCTAAAATACATGTTTTCCAGGGACCAAACAAAAATTGTCTTCATTTCCTGATTCCTCCTGGCTGATAGAAGACCCTTATTTTCCAAAATATGTGCCTCGTGGCACCTGGTGACATAAAGATTTGGATTTGCGACTCAGAATCAGGAAATTTAATTGCTCCTGGTGTGAAGTTTTGGTATCCTTTGTGCCTAATGAACCAGGGAAACTCCTTTGTTTATTATGTTGGTTTGTGGGGTTTTTTTGCAATAAATGGAGTTAATTCTGAGCGTTGGTTTGTTGGGTTTTTTTTTGCAATAAATGGAGTTAATTCTGAGCCAGTGCATCTTGTGCTGGTGGGTTCCCTGGTGTCATTATGCCTCATGCACAAAACAGTAGCTTTAAACTTCCTGTGTCTGTTTTGGTGGCCGACTTGTCACTTTTTTTTTGTTTGTTTGTTTGTTTGATGTATTTCTTCCACTCAAAGCTGCAGTAAGAGAATTGCATCTGTTTTACTAAGTGACCTAAAGGGAAACTGTAGGACAGTGTGCTTTGTCTCAGCCCTTTACATCCTGCAAAAGTGGAATTCGGGGCAAAAATAGACTGTCCTACATTATTCCAGCACCTGGCAATTCCAGAGCTGCTAGCTGTCGAAAATAGCTCTTTAAAGTGTTTGAGATGTTGTCTCACTGCTCTCTCCTTCTCTGCAGGTGTGGGTGGCAACCTGGTGGCAGTGCAGGCCAGTCGCATCTCCACTTACCTGCACATGAGTGGGATGCCTGGAGACAGCCCCGAAACAGCCCCTCGCAAGTGCCCCAGCCCTTGCAGCACTTTCTTCAGCCCAGGTACCCACCTCAGGGGTTGGAATCTATTGATTTCTGGCAGCAGGAGCTGCAGCAGTTCCCTGGCTCAATTTGTGGCAGTCCCTGGAGCACTGTCACGGGAGGTGGTGGCTGAAGCCTGCTCAGAAGCAGCTCTGAGCTCAGGGCTGTGGTTGCTCCTCTGGCCTCTCCTGCCCTCTGGAGACCACCAGACCTTCAGCAAAGCTGCTCTGCAGCAGGACGTAGCCCTGCCAGATGAGGACACACCATGGTGCACAAGTCCCATGCCCTGATGACTGTCTAATTCTGTAAATCCTCCACCCTCTAAATTTTTTCCAGATGTCTCCAGGATACTGAAACCTGCCCTGAGGCTGCTGGAGCGTTGGGGCTCTGCTGGGCTTGTGGAGCTGCAGTTAGAGAAAGCTCCTCTCTTAGGGAGGCTTCCTTGCAGCTCTGGTATTTGTGGGGGTTGTGTGGGCACAGCCCAAACTTGCATTTCCAGCACAGAGTGCAGGCAGTTGCTCTCCATACTTCCTAGAGAGGCTCAATACCCTGCAGCCTGGGTAGGTTGTTGCTCTCCATACTTTCTAGAGAGGCTCAATACCCTGCAGCCTGGGTCCTGGCCTTCTGGGTCTAGGCTGGCCCTGAAGAGCAAGGAGGAGTGATGGGTCTCCAGTGTGGTGGTGATCTGTTAGAAAACCCATCACCAGACACAGAACAGACAGAGCTCTGAGGAAATTCGGTGCTCATGATAAAATCTTGAGGGCTCTGAGCCTCTGAGAGGTGGGACATGAGTCCTTTTGGCAGCTGAGGCATGAGAACAGCTCTTGCTCTGGGGACAGGATTAAGGTCTCCTACCGAGCTTGCTGCAAAGAGTCCTTGGGTGTCCTGGCAGTTGGGGCATCGTTCAGGGCACTGCAGGGTGGGGATGAGGGTCCAGTGTGTTGGTCCCTACTCGTGACTTGTCCACAGTTGTGCTGCCTTGTCCCCTGGAGCCCCAGGGAGGCTGCAGAGTTGCTGAGTGTTCAAGCCCATCTCGTTTCCCTGCAGATGTGAATTCCCGCTCTGCTCGTGTCCTCTTTCTTCTGGTGGTGCCCGGACACTTGGTGTTCCTGTACACCATCAGCTCCATGCAAGGTGGGCACACGACGCTCACCCTCATCTTCATCGTCTTCTACATGACGGCTGCGCTTCTCCAGGTGAGCTCTGCCCCCCCGGGGGCTGGAATGAGGGGACACTGCAGAGGGGACCTGTTCACCCAATTAAGTTGTAGATACAGCACTGAAGGCACAAGGATACACCCTACCCCTGGGTAAGAGATTTTTGTGCCGGGGAGAGGTGTGCCAAGCAGATTGTGTTTGTCAAATGAGCCGGGATCAAACCGAGTAACTCCTCCTTTGTTGATACCTGTGCACACAATTCTTCCTTCCTACCATTCTTGGCAAGTCTTGAATCTGTCTTTTGTCTCTTTTAAGTCCTTCTGACAGCAGAAGTGTTTACCTCTCGTGTGTTAACCTGGCGTATAATTCTAGCAATTTTAAAACTGTGGGTGAAGAAAACAGGATGTGGAATTCGCAGGGACCCCGTGCCTTGTGTGCCCTCTCCTGCCCTTTCCCTGCCTCCCCTGCAGGGCAGAGACCTGTGGTGAGGGGGCTCCTGGTCTCCTGGCAGGAGCTGTGTGAGCCCAGGGCGATGGCTGTTCCCAGGGAGGTGCCCAGAGCAGGGTATTTGTGCTCCAGAAATCCAGTGGCCCCTTGCAGGAGTCTGGTTGCCCACCTGGGAGAGCAGGAGGAGACGCTCCGGTTGGGGAGTTTCCTACTGAACCCAACTACATCCCCCCCTGTTCCACCCCTCTGCTCGTGGAAGCTGTGTCTGGTTTCGGTGTCTCCTAAAATCAACAGCCCCGGCCGGGGTGAGGAAATGAGTCAGAGCATCCATCAGAGGATGAGAGCAGAGCTGTCATCCCGGGGGATAAATTTAGGTTGTGGATCCTGCCGGGTGCTCGGGGGCTTCCGCCCGATGGTCTCTGCACAGCCCCCCCCCGAGCAGCCAGTGTAGGGCTTGAGAGCATCCACTGCAGATTTCTTCTGCCTTTAGATATTGAGAGGAGCCTCTCACTGAAGCAGATGAGGGAGAACCTCACACTCTGGCAGTTCCAGCTGCCGGGCAGTTGCTCTTTTATTTCTGGAAGCCGGATGCTGCTGTCCCTTCCTGAGCATCCTGCCTGATTCCGGGTCCCCTCTGTACCCCACATTCTTCAAGCTTGTTCCAGTTAAGAGCTGAAAACAGAAGCAAAATTTTGACTTTTTTGGTGCTTGGGTGCCCGTGTTCTCCCTTCTAAGCCTAAATCTGATGGTGCTGTGAAGCTGAAGAAGGACAGGGCAGAGGCTGTTAGGGTCACAGAGGGTTTGGATGCCCAGGGGCCCCCTGAAACTCGCCGAGTTCCTCTTTGTGCCATGGTTGTGGCTTTGGGGACGCAGCCTGGGTTAAACCAGGCTCCCAGTGGTTCCCAGTGAGAGGATCGAGGGGCAATGGGCACAAGTTGGAACAGAAGAGGTTCCACTCAAATATGAGGAGAAACTTCTTCACGGTGAGGGTGACAGAGCCCTGGAACAGGCTGCCCAGGGAGGGTGTGGAGTCCCCTTCCTTGGAGATTTTCAAGACCCGCCTGGATGCTCCTGAGTAACATGCTCTGACAAGCTCTAGGCAATCCTGCTTCAGCAGGGGAGTTGGACTAGATGATCTCTATGGTCCCTTCCAACTCTAAAATTCAGTGAAATTCAGTGAAACACCTGGGGTGGTTCTGAGCTCCCACCACTCTGTTCCTCGGGCTGAGGACGTGCCCTCCAGCCCCACTGATGCTCCATGAGGACTGGGACTGCAGGGGTCAGGATTTGTGGCTGATGTGGCTCTTTTCTTCCTGCCCCCCAGGTCCTCATTCTGCTGTACATCGCTGACTGGATGGTGCACTGGATGTGGGGCAGGGACCTCGACCCCGACAACTTCTCCATCCCATACTTGACAGCCCTGGGGGACCTGATTGGAACAGGTCTCCTCGCCCTCAGCTTTCATGTCCTCTGGCTCATCGGTGACCGGGACACTGATGTGGGGGACTAGCTCTCCCTGCTGCCCCCCCCTTCTCACAGCTCTCCTCCTCCTTTCATTCTCTTGTTGCTGTTTCTTTTCCTCCCCCCCCTTTGCTCTCCTTCGCTTCCTTCCCCCCACCCCGTCTCTCTTGAGACTTCATCTTTGATATACTGGATTCTCATTATTTTCAATGGGGATTTTATGTGGTTTATATTTCAAGCCAAGTTTGTACAGAAAATAAATCTAGTTTTAGGAAGGACAAAAAAAAAAAAAAAGTGTAACGAGACAATCACTAAGTGCAATTTCATGGTAGTTACGTCTGAACCAAGGTTACAGGGAAGACACTGCTCAGTGGGATCACACAGGGAGCCCCCCCTGTCCCAGTCACTAGAGGTGAAGGGCTGCTTTTTTTTCGCTTCATAAGCGTTTTTATTACTGGAGGGTGAGGTTCAGGTTTATTTCACTGAACAGGCACCTTCTAGCACAGTACAACCTCATGGATGAGGGCATGGGGTGTCTCCTGCTGTCTCTGCCCTGTTGTCCTCCTCCTCTCTCGTGTTCGCTCTCTGAATCCCCCTCCTGTTTCAGTATCCAAAGCACGAGGGTCTCTGGTAGAGGGATTAGCAAGGAAGGGTCCTCTGTGCTGAAACACTCGTTCCATGTGCCCACCAAGGAACGTGAGTGATCCTGGATTTGAGGAGTGCAGAGCCCTGAAATCTGGCTGTGAGCAGGCGGGTCTCTGCGGGCAGGTTTAGGCTCCCTGTTGCCAACCATCCAGCAGCATCTCAGGCTGCAGACACCTCACCTGACAAGGCCCAGAGCTCTCCCCATCCATCCTTCTCCCCTCCTGCCTCCCCGTGCTCTGCTGGGGGATCTGCTGGAGCTGTCATAGCCCCTTGTGCCTCTCCTTCGTGCTGGTTGGGGCACAGCGCTGTTTTCACAGCAGCCTGCTCAGTTCAGTTTTTTTCCTGGAAAAAAAATAGATGCTATTTTGTGTGTTTAGATTTTTCTTTCAGTCGCCAAGTGCTGTTGACGGGCCCCTTGTGGCTGGGAAGAGGGCACCCAGTGACTCTCCTGGTTGAGCCTGAGGCATTTTGAAGTTGGGAGGATTAGGCTGTTGGTGTCAGAAAAGGACATCTGTGTCCAGTCCCTGGATTTCTCTGTGTGTGGAGGCACCAGCTGGAAAACAGGTCAGTGGGCACAGGCAGATTTCTGCAGCCCCGGTCCTTAGTGCTGCTTTCTGGATGGGATGGAGCCCAGTAGCCCTTGAGGAGTGGTGTAAAATCGAGCATGGGGGTCGCAGCCCCTCTCACAAGCTCTGCCTGAGCACAGTGTTCCCTGCTCTCTTCCTTTCCCTGCTGCTTTTTGTGCCCCTCAGCTCGGTGGCAGCCGAGACACCTTCCCTTCCACTGCTGGAGTGTTGCTGGAAGGGCTTCCCTGGGGTCTGTGGGAGTAAAACCTGCTCTGGCTGCCTGACTGAGCCCTTTGTAAATGATCTCCCTGAATGCTGCCGGCGCTCCGGGCTTTTTAGTTTTCCCATTTGGATATAAATCAATTCAGTAAACTGAGCAGTTTCACATAAGCAGCTCTTATGGACTGGGGAACTTCACCCAGTTCCACCAAGTCTAAGCCACGTGCTGGAGCTGCCAGCCCTATTAAACCTGCTCTGATGCCTGAGTGTAAATTCAGTGTATGAGTGAGCATGAGAGGGGGGGAAAGCTCTTCACATCTGTCAAGGGTGGGGGAAAAAATCCCGTGGAGCCTGATTTCAGTGGCTAAAAATTTTTCAGCTGGGAAATGCTGATTTTCCTCTGAAATAAGGGCAGGTTGGAAGCTCTGTTCGTTGCCCTGGACAAGGCCAGAACCAGCTGAGCTCCACAAAGCCCTGCTGGGGCACAGGCAGTTTTGCTCTCGCTCGTTAGGCAAGGAGGGACTCGTTAGGGACAGTCCCTGCCTCCCCCAGGGAAGAGCTGAATGACCCCTTAGGGTCCAGGTCGAGACCAAAGTCAGTCTGGGCTGGGGCAGTCCCAGCCCCTGGATCTCCTCACAGAGCTGGTCCTTGCTCTGGAGACGAGGAAGGTTGGGATGAGCGAGGGGGAACCAGCTCTGGAAAAGCACAGGAGCAGCTGGATCCCAACCAAATGGTGCTCAAGGACCTCTCTGAAGCTGTAGAAAAATCCTTTCCTGCTCCTGAGTTCTCCTCCTCCTACTGCCAAAGCTGTTTGCTGTGCTCAGGAGGCAGAGGTGGGCTCCTTGCCCCACCAGGCTGCGCTCCCACACCCTCAGAAGGGTGGGTGATAGATTTTTTGAGGCAGTTTTCCCCATTCTGCCTTGCTCTCCCCTTCCCCGCCTTCGCAAGATGCCCGTTGTGGTGGTAGCTCTGAACCTCCTCCCCTCCACCCTGGGGGTGGGACTTCTCCCAGATCTCCTTTGGCCAAAGCTCTGTTCAGAAAAAAAAAACACCAAAACCCAACAAAACCCAAGAAACCAACTCTCAGAACCTGCTGAAGTCTCAGCCCGGGGACTTCTGAGTGTTCTCTGCTGCTCACCCCATTTCTCTGCCTAATTTTGAGGAATAGATACGAGACTTCCTTCCATTAACACTTAATATTTTCTAGAGAGATAGAGAGATAAATATATATATGAGAAATTTCCTAGTCTTTTAAGTGTCACGTCACTATTTAGTTCCCTAAGAAATGATTCCCCCAGAGGAAGGATCTACCATTTCTGGTATATATATATATGAGAAATTTCCTGGTCTTTTAAGTGTCACATCACTATTTAGTTCCCTAAGAAATGATTCCCCCAGAGGAAGGATCTACCATTTCTGGTCTCCTGTAAGAGGAGGAGGAGACCCAGAGGTGACTGGGAGCTGCTGGGCTGGTGGTGTCCGTTCCATGAGGTCCAAGCTGTGGGGGGGTTGGAGCAGGGGAGGGAAGAATCTCATTGAAAATTGAAGGATATTGATGGTCAGAAACTTTTCCCACCCGTTGCACTCAAATGCATGCCTACTCCACAGCTGACTGCAAATGAAAAAAAAAATAAAATAAAATACTGGTTTACTCTTTTTATTAAAGGAAAAAGACTGTCTTTAATTATTTATAGTTCCTATAACTGAATTGACAGGTGTCAACTTAACTGATAAATTATATTTGGTTAAATAAAGATGACATTTATTTATGTGGACTGTGGTGTCTTTCCTTCACGTGCCTCTCAAAGGTCTTTCTGGGGTTTTGCAGCTTATTTTAGCTTGTACTGAAAATTCTCCTGATTTGCAGTGGGCTGAGAGTTTGGAAAATCAAATCCATTGCTGTGCAGGAGGCAAAGGGTGATGGGGACAAGTGGCAGGTCCCGGGCATGGCTGGGGCTGTGGCCGGGGTGGATGGAGGTGGCTTTGGGGACGGTGGGTGTTTGTCCTCAGCCCTCGTTGTGCACAGAAGCCCTGCCCCGGGGCCTGGTGGAGGTGTGTGGGACAAAAGGCTTCTGCGTGGGTTTGGGGCCGAGCAGCCCCTGAATCTGCAGGAACTCGTGGCTGTGGAAGGGTTTCCCGTCCTCCCCAGCTGTGGGGTTTGCTGTTGGGGGCTGTTTTCCTGCAGGGATGTGTCCCCTGACTGCTCGCCCAGACAAGGGTGGTGTTGGAGACCCCAGAAACAGGAGACCTAAAGCAAAGCTCTTCTGATTCACAGTGGGCTGAGAGTTTGGAAAATCAAATCCATTGCTGTGCAGGAGGCAAAGGGTGATGGGGACAAGTGGCAGGTCCCGGGCATGGCTGGGGCTGTGCCCGGGGTGGATGGAGGTGGCTTTGGGGACAGTGGGTGTTTGTCCTCAGCCCTCGTTGTGCACAGAAGCCCTGCCCCAGGGCCTGGTGGAGGTGTGTGGGACAAAAGGCTTCTGCGTGGGTTTGGGGCCGAGCAGCCCCTGAATCTGCAGGAACTCGTGGCTGTGGAAGGGTTTCCCGTCCTCCCCAGCTGTGGGGTTTGCTGTTGGGGGCTGTTTTCCTGCAGGGATGTGTCCCCTGACTGCTCGCCCAGACAAGGGTGGTGTTGGAGACCCCAGAAACAGGAGACCTAAAGCAAAGCTCCTAAATGCCAGGGGCTGGGGAGCTGCCACCAAGGCTGGCACGAACCTCTCTGCTGGCTCCAGAGGAGGAGCTGAGGGTGCTGAGGCACAGGATGGGTGCCCTGGGCTCCTGGGGGTGGGAGAGGGTTGTGTTTTCTGGTTGGGGGAAGGAGTGGTGGGGGCAGCTTCTGAACACGGGTTGTGGAGAGAAACATTTTGCCATTATTTTAAGGCCTTGAAGGAATCCCAACAGTGGTGTAGCACGGCTTTAAAAATATACACACGTGTGTGTGTGTGTGTGTGTATGTTGTGGGTTCTTTTTAGCTGTCTGCTGGTTGCAAAGGGGCAGGGTCTGCAGAGGGCAGGGTCTGAGCAGGCAGGGATGCGTGGAACTGAGTCTGGGGGTCTGTGGGGCAGAGCCTGGGGGTGCAGGGATGTGTGGAGCAGGGTCTGGGGGTGCATGGGGCAGGGTCCAAGCGTGCAGAGGGAAAAGAGCAGGGTCTGGAGGTGCAGTGATGCACGAAGCAGGGTCTTGGGGGTGCAGAGGGCAGCGGCTGGGGATGCAGGGGCAGATTCTGGGGTGCAGGGGGCAAAGAGCAGGGTCTGGGGGTGCAGGGCAGATGCTGGGCGCCGCCGCCTCCACCTGACCCTCACATGACCGGGGGGGGCCGGGGCCGGGGCCGGGATGGGGCAGCGCGATCGCATGTTCAAGGTGCTGGTGGTGGGGGACGCCACGGTGGGGAAAACCTCCCTGGTGCAGCGCTACGCCAACGACAGCTTCAACCGGCACTACAAGTCCACGGTGGGAGGTGAGTCCGGCTCCTCCGGGGGGGTCCCCAGCGGCTTAAACACACCCCAACTTCCTCCAACCCCCCCTCCTCCGGAACTACTGCTTTTATCGCTCCTGGGTTCTGGGGGGAACTCGCCCCCCTCCTGCCCTGCACGGGAGGAAGAGTGTGTGAAAGGAGCAGAATAATAACCAGTATAACCAGTATAGGGGAGGGGTGGGTGTTCTGGGAAGCACTGAGAAGGGTCTGGGGGTCCTGGTGGGTAATAAGCTCTCCATGAGCCAGCACTGAGCCCTTGTGGCCAAGAGGCCAATGGGATCCTGGGCTGTGTAGGGAAGAGAGTGGCCAGGAGGTGGAGGGAGGTCATTCTCCCCCTCTGCTCTGCACTGGGGAGGCCACAACTGG